GGAAAAATTATGAGAAAAGAAAAAAAATGGAAATGAAATCTATGTAAACAGGGAAGGATGGAGGGGGTGAAGGAAGGACAGGTAATGGGGAAAAAATAAGAACCAAGATACATCATGTTCAGGTACAAACACCCAATGATAAATGTAAACATATTTTATACCTAAAATGTACCGATAAAAGAATTTTTTTAAAAAATTTGAGAGACATATCACCGCCTGGCATGCTTCAAAATTCACATCACTCATATATAAAAAGCTCCTAGAAATCAATACGCAAAAGGCAATGAAGAAAATGGGAACTTACAGAAAAAATGCAAAATAGGGGCCAGGGATTTAGCTCAGTGGTGCTGCGCCTACTTCGCAAGCACAAGGTCCAGAGTTTGATCTCCAGTACCAAAAGTAAAAATGCAAAATAGAAAATTATTACATAAAAAGATGCTGAAGTTCATTTAATTGTCAAAGAAAAGCAAATGAAAATAAGATATAAGGCTCAATCACAAAAACAGCAAAAACTAAAAACTACTGATGATGTCTGGTGCTGGAGAAAATATTAGGAAATAAACCTTCTTGTAGATGATTCATGGCCACATGTTAAACTGATTACACAATATGAAAATACAATTTGAAGCCGGGCATTGTGGGGCACATCTGTAATCCTAGCACACACGAGGCTGAGGCAGAAGGATCACTGCAAGCTCAAGGCCAGCCTGGGCTCCATAATGAGTTCAAGGCCAGCCTGAACTGCATAGTAAGACCCTGTCTCAAAATAATTTTTTTTAACTTTTAATTTAAAAAACAAAATACAATTTGGAAGATGTCCTTTATGTTTATAAACCTGTATGCATTTGACCTACCACATTCAAGCCTCAGAATTTGGCCTACACAAATACTTGGTAAATGATAAAAGATGTATTTATATTGTGTCATTATTTCGGCTAGGTACTAGCTGTAAAACTCTATTCCTCATTTCTTTCTTCTGAAAAGTGAGAATAACAATAGAACTTAGGACAAAGTGTTGCTAGGTAAATTAAATAAGTTGATTCCATTATAATGTATTACAATAGTGACTGGCACACGGCACTCAGTAAACGGTAGCTGTGATTCTTACTATTATTACTATTATACATAAAAGAAAAACTAGAGAAAATTAAAAAGGACAACCAACAAGGGTCTGCCATTAAACAGACATTAAAAGGACAATAAGGTCATCCATCATGGTGCATACCTGTAATCCACACTACTTGGGAGGCTGAGGCAGGACAGTCATAGGTTTGAGGACAGCCTGAATTACATAGTGAGATTCTGTCTCAAAATAAAAATTAAAAGGGCTGGAGACATACTGGCAAAACATCCCTGGATTCAAAACCCCAGCACAAAAATAAATAAATAAATGGAAAGATTTTTTTCATAATAAAATATATAAACTTCATTTATTGGGTTCATTTTATCCATGAACCAAGAAAAAGTTGCAGAACAGAAGTATGCATTTTGTGTGTGTAGTAAGGAAAAATACATAGCAATAAAAAGATTATCTACACACATTTATACATATACATCTACACATAGATGAGAAGGATCTGGAAGGATCATCTCCAAAATAGATATGTCGGGGTAGAAAGCAGAAATTAGATTACTGAGATATTCCACTTTTTTGTATTTCTTTTTTATTTCTGTGCTATATTGTTTATATTTGCAGTAAGTTACCTTTGCAGGTTAAAAATAAAGGCTACTTGGGCCGGGGATTTAGCTCAGTGGTGCTGCGCCTGCCTTGCAAACACAAGGTCCTGAGTTTGATTCCCTAGTACCAGAAAAAAAAATTTTGAAATTTAAAAAATAAAGGCTAAAAAGAAAGAGCAGAGAAGAAACTGGCTTTGAGTTAAGTCATGACCCCACTAACTCTGAGATGATAGGAAAGGAACCATGGAAAAACAGGACAGCAACTCATTTTCCAAGCATCTGCCAGGGAATTTTAACTAAAAATAGCCTCTTTAATGCCCATCAACTGGAGACTGGATAAAGAAGATGTGGGGTTTTTTTATAAAATGGAGTACTACTCACAAAGTAGAGACATTTATAGCTAAATGGATGCACATTGAGGCCATACCCTTAAGTGAAATAAATAGGACTAACGTGTAAATACCAAATAGTTTCTCTGGTGTGAGAAACTGAAAGTGTAAATAAGGATTAAAATGTATAATTGATAATGTGAAATAGGAAGAAAAGGTCCAAAGGGGTAGAGGAAGTGGGAGGGGTAGGGGAAAGGAAAGAAGGGAAAGGGAAAAATATGAGAAAAGGAAAAAATGGAAACAAAGTTTTTATAAATAGGGAGGAGTGGAGGGGGTGAAGGGAAGGCAGGGGAAGGGGGAAAAATAAGAACCAAGATGCATCATGTAAAGGTACAAGATCCCAATGATGAATGTAACTGTATTGTATACCTAAAATGTACCAATAAAAGGAAAAAATAGCCTCTTTAGAACAACTCTTAATGATACCACCCTCAGCTAAAAACCACTGGCCTTCAGGAAAACCTAATAATAAAACTTATTAGGCTAATGTGCCAGAAACCTTGACTTGGTGAGGAGCTAGACTGGGTTCCCTTCATGCAGAATATAGATCATGTAATTGATCATGTTGCCCTTTTCACTGTGGCTGCCAGGAAGCTTATCACCAAAATGTTTAGCTCAGTTTGCATGAAGTGAAGCCAGATGGCCTATGTATCGCCTCAACAATTTTGTCTATATGTTGATCTTCTAGTCTTTCTAAATTTCTCTAAATCTTACTTGCAACTAACTTTCCTTTCCCATTTTGTTGTGGGAAGATAAAATGAGAAATGAACAAATAATTTACCTTAGACTTTATCATTTTCTATTTCTCTCTGGAGAACAATTGGGGATGGGTGGGGTGCAGAAGTGTTCAGAGCTCACAAGGTTAATCTTCAGTGGCTGGATGTGAAAATATGTTAATTTACTGATGACTGTGTCTGACCCGGGGACTACATTTCAGGAACTTTTGTCCTAAAGTAATATCCATGAATGTGTATAGAGACTTAACTGCAGGCACTGTCAACACAGTTTTGCCTTTAAAACTATAATATCTAAAATAATCACCAAGTATGGTGGTGCATGCCTATAATCCCAGCTAATCAGGAGGCTGAGGCAGGAAATTGCAAGTTGAAGGACAGCCTGGGCAATTTAGTGAGGCCCTGTCTCAAAATAAAAGTTTAGGAAAGGGCTAGGCTAGGGCATAGTTCAGTGGCAGAGCCCTTGCCTAGAATTCATGAAGGCCTGGGCTTGATCCCTAGCACCACTAAATAAATAAATAAATAAATAAATAAATAAATAAATAAATAAATTTCCAGCACTAAAGACTGGGTAATAAGTTAAGGAAGAAAGGCAAATGGCCACTAAAAACAGCACTAAATGATTAAAAGATGCTGAGTATAGACTGAGAGTGTAGCTCAATGGTAGGATGCTTGAGGCCCTGGTGTTCTATCCCCAGTATTGCAATGGCCAAAAAGAGAATGGGAAAGAGGGGAGTATGAGAGCGCAGGGAGAGGAAGAGAGAGAGAAAAACACTTTACAGGCCTATGTAGAGAAGGGATGGGATTCTTTTTTTTTTTTCTTTTTGTTACAACATGGACAGCCCCATGAACACACAGCCTCTCTCCAGTCCCAGTCTTTCCTGTCCCAGCAGTGCGCTGTCTCTGGCTGGATGACATGGGCATCAATGGTGACCTAGGGAGCTGTTTGTGGATAGGGAGCCCGAGCTCCTTCGGTTTGTCTCCACTTAGGTTTCCTTCCAGCTCTGCCACGGACTTGGGCTGAGCCGATTTTGTGCCTCTGCGATCACCCTTTCCCTGCATACACTCAACCCTCACATCCCACCACATCTCACCCAGCAGGGCCATCAGATGCAAGGCCCAACCACTGCTGTCTTTTTTCAGGGCTGCGAAGGAGAGAGAGCACCTTCTGGAAAAATGTATAAGCTAGGTCTTCTGTACGATGACACTTTTCATACTTGACTGAATTTTCTTTTCTGGTTTTTTTGTTTTGTTTTGTTTTGTTGGTTTTTTTGGTACCGGGGATCGAACTCAGGACGCTTAAGAGGCAGGCCGGCAGAACCTCTGAGCTAAATCCCTGGCCCAATTGACCGAATTTTCCAGTAACCTCCGGACCACTTGTTCAAAGGCTGTGGTTTTTGTCTCCCTTTCCCCACATGCCAGCCTGTGGTAGCTCCATCCAGGAGCCATTGCGGGCCAGATTTGCTGGTCACCCCAGCTCCTGCCTGATGGGGTCTCACCTCTCTGTGTCTCTGTCTGTCTCTCTCTGTATCCCCCACACACACCCCACCCCCCGCTTTTCACCCTTACAGTTCCCTACTTTCCCCTACCCCTGCGTGGGGGTGGGGCTGCAGAAGACCTAGTGACCCTAGACCAACCCCTCAGTCCCCAGCCTAAGCAATAAGAAGCCAGAGCCAGCAAGCAGGCACTTCAGCCACCCCTTCGCTGACTCTTGATCGGCAGCTATGGGGGACATCGTGCTGGGCAGGAGGCGTGGCGTGGTCTGTACCCGGAACTCAGGCTGGGCTTCGGGTGTCGCCCCTGCCGCCCAAGGCCCGCTCCCAGCCTGGCACCGGTTCGTTCAGTAGTAGGAGCCGGTAGATGGAGACGCAGCCACGCGGGACTCATTGTTAAGGTGCCTGGGGCTTGTTCACAGGGATCTTTGTGGGGAGGTGACTTAAACTAAAGACGGTTTTCCTTGCATTAAAGAAAATTTTAACTGTGCTGATGGTGGAAAAAAATAAAGGAAGGAGAGAGGAGGAGAGAGGAGAGAAAAGGGGCAGCACTAAAACAATTTACAGGCATATGTACAAAAGGGATGGGATTCTTTTTTTGTTGTTACAACATGAACAGAAAAAATAGACAAGATGGGAGCAAATGCATTTTCACGTTCAAAAAGAACTGGAGACCTCTGAGAGGTTCTAAATATGATCTTAAACTAAATATCTTTAAAAGAAGGATTAATGCTGACTTGTGAAGGTGTGAAACAAGCAGCGAGATGAGGATGGGATGTTAGAAAGAATCCACGTGCAGCTTCGATCTTTTCCCCTCTTTTTTGTTAAGAATGCTATTGAAGGGGGGGGGGGGTTCTGTCTGATATTTGTTTTTTGTTTGTTTGTTTGAATAAAGTAGCCAACAGCACCAAAAACTAACGGAATGGATTTCCTGATGAAATCAGATGCAGGCCTAGGTCAGTGATCCTCCAAGGAAGCAGGCTTTGTCCTGCACCACACACTGATGTGCTGGTAACCAGAACCTGGCTACGCCAGCCTGTTCCTCCCCTGTGCTTAGGAAACAGTCGCCTTAGGCTGCCCTAATCGCCCCAGAAACAAAACAGGCCTTTTGGGTTAGACGTGGTGGCGAAGGCCTGTAATCCCAGCACTGGAGAGGCTGAGTCAGGAAGGTTGCTGTTAGTTGGAGACCAGCCTAGGCTACATAGTGAGTTCAAAGCCAGCCTGGACTACGTAGTGAAACCCTGTCTCAAAAGGGGCAGGGGGGCTCTCTGTTTTAAAATTAGAAACTCACCTTGCACATGACAGAAGAAAAGACAGCCAGAGTAAAGCCATTTCATTTCTTTTCAATTATTCTCTCTCTTTTCAATTATTCTCTCTCTCTCTCTCTCTCTCTCTCTCTCTCTCTCTCTCTCTCTCTCTCTCTCCTATTCCTTGTCTGGTCTAGAAAAATCTGCTCATATGAGTTTGTTGCAGGAATCCAAGAGGCTAGAGAAACCCACGGACTGAAACAGGAGGACTGTAAGATGTACACCAGCTCAACAGATTCCTGTCCAAAGGAACAGCATTAAACAAAGAGAAATTACAGCTTTTATACATTTTGTCAAAGAAGGTGGTTTTTCTAGTGAGGTAGCAAGTGAGTTTACCAGAACAAAACAAGGGCAGACAGTTTTGTAACGGCCTTGAAAGAAGACAGTGTCTCATGAATCATATGAGAACAGAGAGTCTTAAACTTTGTTTGCAGGGCATAGTTGTCAATTTTATCTGTACCAAAACAAGGCGTTACAGCTACAGAGGAGAGGGGGGTCATGGTGGGGGGCCTCCTCAAGGCTCGGAAGGACTTGTTTTTTTTTTAAGTCCTGATTCAACTTGATGGTTTTAAAATTTGTTCACCAAACTTCATACTATTCAAAAATCATTTTAAAAGCCATATTTTCCCCCAACAGTTACCAAAAAAAAAAAATACAGTTTGGGGGTTTGTTTGGTTTGTTTGGGGGTTGTGCTGTTTTTTGTTTTTGTTTTTGTTTTTTGACACAGGGTCTCATTATGTAGTTCAGGCTGGCCTCAAACTCACTATGTAGTCCAGGTTGCCCTTGAACTCACAGCAATCCTCCTGCCTCAGCACTCCCCCCCCCCCCCGTTCTGGGATTACAGGCGTGCACCACCACGCCCAGCACCCTCAAGGATTTTTAAAACAGTGACTATATGGCAGTTTCAAAAATCTGACTGCATGTCTAGGTGTTCTAAATACAAAAGAAAAGAAGTTCAACTGCTTAATGCTAAAATAAAATTAGGGAGAGAAGAGGGAGAGCTTTGAAGTGTCACTGAAGGCCAGACACTGATTGATTGCTTGGGACCATAAGTATTTCAGAGGTGTTGTTGTTGTTGGGGGGGGGGGGGATTGGAACATTTACATAGACTTTAACAGTTCAGCATCCCTAATCCAAATATCCCAATGGGCCAGGTGCTGCATGCCTGCAATCTCAGCACTCTGGGAGGCCAAGACAAGAGGATCACAAGTTCAATTTAGTGAGACCTTAGAGCGGGGGATTTAGCTCAGTGGTTCTGCCACCTACCTTGCAAGCGCAAGGTCCTGAGTTTGATCCCCGATACCAAAAAAACAAAAACAACAACAACAAAAAACTTAGTGAGACCTTCTCAAAAAATTAAAAAGAGCAGGGCAAGTAGCTTGGTGCAAAGGCTCTGGGTTCAATTCCCAATACCACGAAAAAAATCCAAACTCCAACACCAGAAAATTTTGTACATGATGTCAGCATTCAAATGTTTCAGACTTTGCAGCATTTCATATTTTGGACTTTCAGATTAGGGATCCTCAGCCTGTGTTGGCGCTGCCACTACAGAGTGGAAGTAGCCATGGACAATACATAAACTAATGGTGCTCAACAGCAATGCTGCAAAAAAAAAATGTTATTTATGGACACTGAAGTTTCAATTTCACAAGTCATTTTCACATGTAACAAAATATTCTTCTTTTAATCTCCTTCCAACCAATAAATAATGTGATAACCATTAGCTCATGGCTATATTAAAAAGCAGCAGGCCAGATCTGGCCCGTGGCCCATAGTTTTTCAATTTAGATGAAATGCAACTGGTCACAAGTTGATGATTGGTGAGACTGAGCGACGGGCATCATAGGGGTCTATGATTCCCTCTAGTTTGTGGGTGCTTGAAAATTTCCACAGGAGAGGTATTTATTTATTTATTTATTTAATGATCGAACTCAGGACCGTGCACTTTCTAGGCAGGAGCGGCGCCACTGAGCTAAATTCCTGGCCCGAGAGGTTTTTATTTAAGCATTATCATAGAAATAGCTAAGCAGTACTATAAAGTTAATGGCATGGATATATAACTGCAGAGTGAAGAAGCAGATCACATGTTCTCAATTATTTTATAGCAAACAACCCTGTAGATCATGCATTCTTTTTGTTTTGTTTTTTACAGTGCAATGGATTGAACCCAGGTGCACTCCACCACTGAGCTACATCCCCAACTCTTTTTTTACCTTGACACAGGGTCTCACTGAATTGCCCAGGCTGGTTTCCAAGTTGTGATCCTCCTCCTCAGTCTTCTGAGTAGCTGGTGTTACTGGTATACATCACCATGTCTGCCTTGGATCATTTCATTTGTTTTTGTTGTTGTTGTTTGGTTTTAGTACTGAGGACTGAACTCAGAGCCTTCATACTGAGTTACAAGCCCAACTCTTTATTTTTATTTTGAGACAGGGTCTCACTAAGTCATCAAGTTGCCCAGGCTGGGCTTGAACTTGTGATCCTCCTGCCTCAGCCTGTGAGAGCGCTGGGATCACAGGTGTGTGCCATTATGCCTGCCAGATTGTGCTTTATTTTTTTTGTTGTTGTTTTTGACAGGGCTTTGCTATGTACTTCAGGCTGGAACTCACTAGCCCAGGCTGTCCTCAAATCTGTGGAAATCCTCTTGCGAGTGTGCCACCACATGCAACTTGATTGTGCATTCTTAATAGGGATATTGCCTTCAAAGGGACCAAAATGGGTTCTTGGAGACAAAAAAGAATCTTAGATATTACAATGGTTTGTGGCTCTCCAAACCTAAGCTCTACCTGACAAAAATCTTATTCCTTTCGCTGAATTTCTTTGGGTGTCACAAGAACAGTAATAACCTTGAGGTCATGGAAGAGCTATGAAATATATACAAAATCAGTGTTACAAAACTATAATGAACGGATAATAATCAGGTATTAACACACTTGTCATTCCAAGCCTCACAGTATTAGCCCTGCCATTATCTTCATTTCAGCAAGGAGACTGAAACAGAGAAATGTTAAGTGACTTGTCCAAGGCCGTAGACCCAATGATTAGAGGATGAGGTGATTGAAGAACAAAAAGCAAAGAAATCGTCTGTAGATGTGATAGCACCAAGAATTTTACATATGCCACTTGGCCTTCTGCATGTCCTAAAGAGATTAAATTTCCTCCCACATTGCAGAGGATATTGTCTATTTTTCACTAGGGAACAACATTAATACATTAAGTTTACATTAACTGTTTAACTAAAAATTTCTTTTTCTAGTGCTAGGATCAAACCCAGGCCCTCAAGAGTGCTATGCAAGCACTCTACCACTGAGCCCTAACTTAAAATCTTCATATTCAAAAACTCGATAAAGGAAAGAGAAGGGGGTGGGGATGTAGCTCAGTGGAAGAGCACTTGCCCAGCTTGCACCAGGCCCTGGATTCAATCTTCAGTACCAAAACAATAAAAGAAAGAAAGAAAATCCAAAAATTAGGAGATATTTCCAAAATAAATCATTGATAAAGGAAAGGCATCTGATTACATATATAAAAACAGTTCCTACAAACCAGCAAGAAAAAGGCAGAATGATCATTCAGAAAAATGAGCAAGAGATCTGAACTAGCACTTCACAAAAGAGAGTCAGTCCCCTGATCAATCAATACGCAGGTTAAAAGGTGCTGAAGCTCCGCAGTCCTTAGGAAACTAGTATAAATCCGGACCACAAGTCAGGCTAGGGGTGGAGCTCAGCGGCAGAGCGCTTCCTGGCATGCATGAGGCCCTGGGTTCCAACCCAACAACCCCAAAATAAAAAATAATAAATAAATAAAATAAAAATCACAATGTTGATGCCACAAGGGCTGGGATTTCTGTTTATTCACAGATGTATTACTGATCTCAAGCAGAATCTCAACACTGACCCCACATATTCCTAATTCCATCCACAGGGACCTTCATCCTGCACTTCACAAATTCTTTTCACCCCACAGATTCCCGCTATCATTCACTCGTCCGACCAGCATCGCTTGTCTTGGACTCCCTTCACCCTAAGCCCCTCACTCACTCCATAAATTTCTGGTCGAATAGCCAACATGCCGCTACCCCTGCCCCACGGCCTTCC